TTGTCTGATCAGTTATCATTTTGCATTCTTAAGTAGGTTTATACTTTGGCTACTTTCACATAGACTTAAAACTTGCTCAAGGCTGACTGACTTGAATTTGCTTATGTGTAGCGTTGGAAGTCTTCAAAATCATTTAAATTATTTTTGAAGAATGCTTCTTAGCAGTCTTCAGTACTTTCAAATCTGATTTCAGTTGTAATTACCTCCTGATGCTATCCTAACTACAGTACTCCTTGGTGGGTAATGTACACCTATTACCACTTACCTCATTTGACCTATCTCAAAATTGATATTATTGGCCTATCTCTCATTCTTAGAATTCTTATATTACTTGATTGAAGTGGCATTGTTTCTTTTCAGGTTTTTCCCTTTTTTCACAGTGGACAGTTACTTCTACAATTTAGTGTTTTTGTTTTTCATGTTCCTATATTCAACATATTTCTCTCCTTCCCAACTTCCTGTTAATGTTTCAATACAAAATAAGTACATATTATACAAAGATATACTTCCACACTCTCCTCTTTTTCTATACACATACACACATAATCCACGATTAATAAAATATAAGCTTATTATAAAGTATCATTGATTTATATTAACATTTTCTGAGTATGAATTATCTTGATTGTTTTAAATATTAGGAGTCAATTTAGTATCTGAAATTCTGATGGTTTTACACTTCATAAATTGTTTTTATTAGCATGTATTAGTTGAACATATTAATTCAATGTTATACTTCAAAACATACATATAATATTCATTGATCAAATTTTACCTTCCTTTGTTTTTCTTACACTCCTTAATTCTTTACCCTTTCCATGCAGTAGCAATTGAAATTTTATACTCAAGGAAAAATTGTCTAGCTTCTAGGTATGGAAATATTTCTATTTATGGTTGATTTCACTTAACCTAGTATCTTCCATTTCCATCCATTTCTCTCTAAGTAACAGAACTTTGTTCTTCATTATGGCTTTAATATATTCCTCATTTTGTTCATCTGCCAGGGTTTGTTCTCACCTGTTGATGGGTCCCTGGTTTGATTATACATATTACCTCTTATTAGTGCCACAATAAAAGTATTTCTGTAATTATCTCTTTGGTATGCTGATTCCATTTTCTTTGGCTATATCCCCAGAGGTGGGCAGGTGTGTCATATAATAGATCCACATTTAGATTTTCAAGGATTATTCATATTGTTCTCCATAATGGTTATGCTAGTTTATATTTGTATTAAAAATGTGTAAGAGTTACTTTTTCTCTACACCATTGCCAACATTTACTAATTTTTGTTTATATAACAATCAACCTACCTGATATGAGATAATATTGTATTGGAGGCTTGATTTTCGTTTCCCAAATGGTTGATAACATTGAATATTTTATCATGTTTATTGGGCCATTGCATTTCTTTTTTTGAGAAGTGTGTATTCAAATCATTTTCCCATTGAATTTGTAGTTACTTTTATATTGTGAACATTGATCCTTTGTCAGATAAGTAGTTGAATAATGCTGTTCTGTAGGTTATTTTTTAATTTCTTTATTGTCCCCTTCACTGTGCAATTTTTACTTTAGTTTGATATAGCCCTATTAGTCTGTTTTTGATTTTGTGAGCTTTTGATATCATACCCCCAAAATATTTGTTACAACGCTGTCTTAAATTTTTTCTTGTATCTTTATTTCTATTAGTTTCATGTCTTAAATTTAATTCTTCTCTCCATTTCTGAGTTGATTTGTATATTGGATACAAGACAAGGGTGAAGTTTCTCTCTTCTACTTGTGGATATACAGTTTTCCCAATTAAAGAAGCCACTACTCTTTCTCCATCATATGTTTTTGATCCCTTTATTGAGAATCACTAGGCTTACATGAGTTATTATGACTCTATGGTATGTGCTACAACTAAAGCTGTGATGCCTTCAATTTGTTCTTTTGGCATAAAATTATTTGGCTACTTGAAGTTTGTTGTGCTTCTATGCAAAATTTAAGATTTTTCTCTAATTACATGTAGATAATTGTTATTTTGATGAGGATGGCATTGAGTATGTAAATTTCTTTGTGTATATTTTAACATTCTTGTAATCCACAAATAATTTTTCCAGTTTTGTGTCTTCTTCAATTTCTTTCGCTAGTGTTATATAATCATTGTTGTAAAGGTCTTTTGTTTTGTTAGTGAAATGTATTAGTAGTTATGTTATTTTTTGTTGCTATTATTCCAAGGAATACTTTAATGGTTACTTTCTCAGCAAGCTTATCATTGATGATTAAGAACGCTTCTGATTTTTGTATGTTGATTTTGTATTATATAAAATGGATGGGATTATTTATTATTTCTAATATTATCACATTTTAAAAGTTCTTCATTTTTAAAATTTATACTGCAGGACATCATTCATTAAGCATGTTACTTAATTTTTAAATATTAATTCCTCCCTATATTTCCAGTTATATGCCAATATCTTCATACTGTTCTGTATCCTGTCACCACACATTGCTTTTCCCTAAAAAAGTGGGGTTTTTTTGAAAATATGTTACCTTGATTATTCAGGATATTGTTTAGAACTGTTATACAAATGGAAAAAAAAGGAATTAACTAAGGAACCACCAAAACCAAAAATAGAATAGGGAAATTTGTCATGAGCATGCATGGATGTCTCAAAGAAGCGATGATAAACAATAAAGTTTTACTTGGAAAGGGACTAATGTCTGTGTTTTTTGCAATTGGTAGCAACTATTCATCATAGTCTTTTATTGTTTAGTGGCTTGAAAGCTCTTAAGTGGATGGTTCTTTCTGAATATCTCTAATATATTTATAGTCAATTTTTAGCTGGTACTGAGACTTGAAAGCTCAGCAGGACTGGATGATCAAGATGACTTACTCACATGACTAACAGTTGTTAGTTAACAAATCAGCTATGTTTATTCAATGAAGCATTATCCTATGCTCTCTCCATGTGGTTTGCACTTCTCAGAGCATGTTGTGTTGGATGGATTCCAGGAAAGAGCACCCTTAGTGTGAAAGCTTCAAAAAGGTACATACAGAAGCTGTCAAGGCAGTTAAAGACTTGCTGTACCTGGAAGAGCCTCATTTGCTCTGTACTTTATAACTTACAGAAATCAAAAGAGAAACTCAAATTTAAAGAAGAGAAAATAAAATCCTACGTCTTTATGAGTTGGGGTGACAAGAGAATGGTCTATGGTAACTACCATGCAGCCATCTTTAGAAAACATTGTCATTTGTGCCACTATCATTCTTTCTGTGTTTCTACTTTATTCTTACTGCTCATAGATTTTTTTTCTGTTTCTTAATTCACACCACTTGCTAGAAACTTCGTAAGTACAGTTTCATAGTGTTTATGACATATTTTAAGCATTGCCAAAGTTTGGCCTGTTAATTCTAAATTTCTGAGATAGGTATTATGGATCTGTCTGGGTGTGTGCACTGTCTGTATTCTAATTATCCATGACTGGAAAGTGGCCAGAATTATATGACACAGTCATGGTTGTTACTGCTTCAACTTTTTGAGGCAGTTGAGGGTTTCCCAGATGAAAGGTCTTGACCATTTACTTAACAATGTCTGTTACTGTGTTCAATTCTTGTTAATTACTCAGAGCTGTATTTTAACATCCCTTTTCCTGTGACATCTATTAACTCCCCTGCATGAGTGGTACTGTGGCTACATACTCGCATAAAATTTTGTAGTTTCTGTACTATTTCTTGCTCTGTAAATAACATTGTGCATTTAGATGATTTTCTAACTATCAGATTATAAGAATCCAAAAGAATAGTACATATCGTCTTGCATGTAAAGTAATTATTCAATGAATATACTGCATATGGTTAAAATATATATTTGCATTAGTTTTTCATTTGTTTAAAGGGAGAATTTTAATTACTTAAATAATTCATAATCAATTTGCCTTTGAAATTGTAAGATTCAGTATGCTATGGAATAATGTACGTATGTCGTAAATATTATTTACATTCTTAGGAGCACTTCCTCTACTGAGCCTAATTTCCTAGGATAATTCTTATTTTTGAGGTCAAATTATAGTTTTTTGTGTAACTGTTAGCAAACTCATGTAGTTTCCTAATTTGTAGCAGGGTTGATTCCAATTGGTGCAATTAGTTTTCACTAATATCATTGTACAAACTGTTTTGTATGATAATTATAGGTAGAACTGTGAAATAAGTTCATAGTTTTTTATCAAATTTATTTATTTGACAATGACTGAACTTTAAATTAAGATAATTTCACTACTAGTTGCTTTTTGCTGAGACTGACAGCAAGAAATGAATTAATTTATTTTTTGGAAATAAATTAATAGGATTTGATATATACTATAATTTTAAGGAGTTCACAAGTTAAATAAAAACATACTAAAGAATAAAATGAGCAAAAAATTCTTAAGTATAGAAAATATAGAAATATTTAACTACTTAAATTTCAAAAATTAACATCTGTAGGAAGTCTCTATCTATCAGACCAAAAGCAAATACCAACTGAGACATTTAACTTTCATTACTTAGATCTCGAGTTTTCCTTAAGTTAACTGAAAAATGGCACAGAATGATCAAGTCGGAATGCTAATAAGGACCATTATCCACATGAAACTTTTTCTTTATATCTTGTGCGTTCACAGACCTTATTTGTAGAAGTTAACATCTTGCCTTTGACCACATCTAAATGTAACTTTACAGATAAAACAGTATAAAGTTTATATAATAGATATAAAAAGAAACTATTGAAAAAGATATGTGAGAGACTTTTATCATCACTGAATCCGAATGATCATTTTTCTTCACATTAATTCCAATAGGGGAAAAATATATTATTTCAGTTTTAATAATTTATGGTGAGAGAAAAGTACTTGTTACTTTAAAAGAGGCTATAATGTAATAATGGTTGAGGAGAATTTATGAATTCCATCTTTTTGGAAAATGAGTTGTCCTTTGCAAAAATTTAAAAGTGTCCTAACTAACGATGCTATCCTACCAACAGAAAATTCAATCAGATTTGACAAGTCATGAGATCAGCTTAGAAGAAATGAAGAAACGTAACCAGGGGAAGGATGCTGCCCAAAGAGTTCTATCCCAAATTGATATTGCACAGGTATGTTTTACTGAATAAACTGTTTGGTTTGATTTATTCACACATTAAAGCACACTCATATATGAGCCAATTTGATTAGTAAAATTTAGATGGAAGGCTGTTAGGTCTCCAGGCTGGGACTCCCAGCCAAACAGAATAGAGAAACCTCCCAATGTTCCACTCTTTGCCTGCAGGAAACCTCCTGCATTCTGGGTTCCTGGTATAGGGAGCCCACAGAAGGCATCCTGTACCCTTGCTTGGGGCCCAAAATCACCAGTGACATCCTGTACCCACTCCTATCCTGCTCTGTTCTGGAAAGCCCCCAAATTTTTACCTCTCTCAAAATCTCCCCCTCCCCTATCCACATTCCCTTATAAGCTTTGCCCTCTCCCCTCACTCAGGGCCAGTGGTCTTTTGCCCTTGGTCTGACTGCACCAGGTCTGTAATAAAGTTATCGCTGTATGCTTCAACCTTGCCTGCCTCAATGATCTCAGTCGTGTCCTGGTTTTAGCCTGTCAAGAGCGTTACTTGAAATGATGCGTAGCACCTTGGACCTTTTTGCTGTGTGCATTTTAAAGGTAACATAGGTTAATTGATAATGGTTTATTTAATATCAGATTTAAAAAATTATTGAGAGTAGCTCTTTTGGGGTTTCTCCTGTCTCTAGGAGCTGTGCCTCTCCCCTACCAATAAATATTTTCTACTCTTGAAAAGAAAAGAAAAGAAAAGAAAAATTACTGAATTATTCTCTCAAATGTGTGCTTTTTTATTTTGGAAGAATTGGCTAAGGAGTTGCTTTTTTTTTTTTTTTTAATTTTATTCCTTTATAATGTCAGAAATAAAGGAAAAATCTATTAACAAACTATTATTAGGTACTTTATAGAAGACAAAATTAACCTGATGCATCCTTACATTATTTTTACAGAAAAAACTGCAAGATGTCTCCTTGAAGTTTCGATTATTCCAGAAACCTGCCAATTTTGAACAGCGTCTGGAGGAAAGTAAGATGATTTTAGATGAAGTGAAGACGCACTTGCCTGCGTTGGAAACGAAGAGTATTGAACAGGAAGTAGTACAGTCACAGTTAAATCACTGTGTGGTATGTATTTCTTATGGCAACTGTCAGCTACCCTTGACTTTCCATATAAGAAATATTTGATGATTTCTTTTTATAATTCTAGGAAACTGTAATATTTACACTGTATATATTTAAAATCAAGAAAATGTTGGAGTCTACACTGAAAGACAAGAACTTTTACCAAAATAGTGTTCATTTAAAGTCTGTTCTAAAAGTGTCCTTTATGGCTGGATGTAGTGGTGCATGCCTGTAACCCTGGTCCTCAGAGGGCTGAGGCAGGAGGATTGCTGCTACTTCCAGGCCAACCTTGGCTACATAGTGAATTCAAAGTCAATCTGTACTACATAAGTAACTCTGCGTAAAGAAAGCCTTTTTTGAACCTATAATCCTCTTAAAGACTGTGCAGAATATAAAATGGATCCTCTTGGTTTGTTTTTTATGGGACTTTGAAAATATTTTATATAAAAATTCTGAATAAAGTATATTAATCTAGAAAGAACAAGCATGGCAGTAGTTCATATAATAATAATTTCAGAAATAATGGGTGTTGGCAGGTAAGTTAAATGATGTATAAAAGTAATCTCTAATTCTCAAGGTCATCTGAGAGAAGTTAAAGACAAACACTTTGAGGGGTAACGCAAGATTATATTCTAGGTACTCTTAATTCTAAATCCTAACAGCTTTTCGTTCATCAGTGCTGAAATACTACGAGACCACAGAGATAGAATTAAAAGGCAAGGAGAGATACAATTAACCTGTAGTATAAATATTCATTAGATTTGGGATTATCCAGCAGTGTCCCATGCCACAGTTATTAGATATTCACCAAGTTAGACAATCCTTAGATGATTTAAAAGCTGAAGTGTGAGGGTATTTACTAGCATAATACAAGTGCTATTATAACTCTATGGGTTGTAGGGACCATGAGGTTATACATTTACAGAAAATGAAAAGCCTAAATGTATTAACACCAAAGTGAGGAAGTTTATTTATTTAGTACTTTACATTTTAAGTTGTGTTTCTGCATGTATCCCATAATATAAATGAAAAGCAGAACCTTTGAGATACAGTTCAGTTACGTAACTATGAATAGGGGAAAATCTGTCTTTTAATAGACACTGTAAAATAAATGCATGCATTCATTTGTGAAAAATATGAAGTTATTTTGTGCAATAACCTTTATTGATCATTCAGGCTACATTTTATTCACATAATTACTTTAAATATCCTTTCCTCTTAAAAAGCAATTTTGAATATAGTGGTATACAGTTATTTGCTGATATTAGACAAGTAAGTGTAGGAACACATGGGAACAAATCTAAAACTTTACAAAATTAATTGAAAACAAAAATCACCCAATTACATTATTATATAGACTAATATTTGCTAAATGAGAGCTGTTAATTGTCTTCCAGGAACAAATATTTAATATTACCTCATAAAACTTACTAGCACTAAGTGTAAGCTGAAAGCAACTCCAACTGTATTAATACGAAGGAAACAGAGATGCTGGTTTATTGTTTCTGCTTCCAGTTTAAATGTTAGGACCAATTCAAACACACTTTCTCTGGTCTTCTTTGATTTACAACTTTTATATATTTTCTTACTTAAAATACTTTATAATATAGTACAATGATGACCATGCCTTCAAGACAATTTTGTTGATTTTAGCCAGTCCTGTTAACTTGAACACCAATAAAAGGAATTGTTCTGTTGAACACAAATACAGTGAATATTTCTCCTTCTTGGTTATACATATATTTTGGTCAATTGAAAGGCAAAGTATAATGGCTAACAGTGTCATCAATGAACTTTAATAATAAAAGTAAATGAGTAAAACTTTTTAAATTTAAAGAATGGATTGTTTGGAAATCTCTAATTCTAGAATTCACAGAGTTGATTGCCAACAAAGCAATGAGTGATTGCAGTGTTTTCCAATACTCATATTATTTGTCACATTTTCTAAGATATAGCTGAAATATACTAAAATCATTGGAAAAGCTCAGAGAACTCACAACATTAATAAAGGAAAATTGACATCATTCATCAAAGAGAGGATAACAGTGGAAATAGGTTATACATGTAACCTTAATTAATCAGAAAATTGCTCAGACTTTATAAAATTGTTTTTCTACGCATTTTAAACTAAAATGAGAAAACCAACCCAGATTTTGTCCTAATTCTAAAAGACAATTTACCTAATAAAAAGTTTAATTCTCAGTAGTGTTATTAGTATTCAGATTTCATACTGAACAAATACGAGTGGCCATGAATAATGTAAACGATTATATATACATATATACATACATATATAAGCACATTCATACATATACATATCCAAAATACACATCTTTGCAATAGAATAACTATAAAGCAAAATTATGACTCCCAGTGGTGCTAGAGATATAATAGCTAGTATAGCCATATTCCCAAATTATGATGCGTGCCACAAAATTCTTTGTTGTAGCAGCTGACTCCATTTTGAGAAGCATATGTGTCCTTTGTGATTGCAATATACAGGTAATTTTAAATAATATTCACATATTTTGATAGGCACATTAACAAAATGCATTTGTCTAAGCTAAAACATTTAAACTTATTGCCTTCCTAATGTTGAATATAAAACATATTAAAACTTTGATCTGACAATTTAGATGTTTACTCAAATGAAATATAAATGTGGTGAGAAAATATTTAACTTCTGTATCACTGATTGATTCTCTAATGACCCACTAATAACTGGCACATAGTAGACACTCAGTAAATACCTGGTCAATGAGTGAATCCATTCATTCAAACTCATAGCTAGAATTATATTTCTCGGACATTTAAAATAGAAATCATATAACACTTAGAAATGCATTTTATGATCTTGAAGTAAATAACAAAATACATATGATGTGAGTTATACATGTCTGTATGTCTGTATACAAGAGAAATATCATACTGAAAGATGATGCAAGCACTAGATATTGACAGTAACTTCAAAATACTGACAGCTGCAATAAACCCAGTAACATGCAACAGCAATTAAGGTGATGATGACCTTATTTTTTTACTAATAATATTAATTTAACACTATTGTATGCCATTATTCATTATGTTTTGTTTTTTTATTTAACTTAGAATTTGTATAAAAGTCTGAGTGAAGTGAAGTCTGAAGTGGAAATGGTGATAAAAACAGGACGTCAGATTGTACAGAAAAAGCAGACAGAAAACCCTAAAGAGCTGGATGAAAGAGTAACAGCTTTGAAATTACATTATAATGAGTTGGGTGCAAAGGTGAGAACATATGATACAACAAATACTCCGCTGAACTTTCCTTAGCATTATGGACAATGGTTTGTATAACTTAGGCATAATTAGAGTCTCCATAATTATTATTCCCATGCTCTTTCTCCCTCCTCTTGTCTTTTTTGCGTATATTCATGTGCAATTTTTCTGAGAAAATGTTAATTAATCAGTGAGGGTCTGTTCATAGTTTGAAAATTATGCAAGGTTAAGAAATTGTTTTTGTTGATCTATCATAGAGTTCTAAATGGTTTCCTTTGTTCTAAATTTTCCTTCTTTAAGTTGTTTAAATCTACTTATACTGACTTGTAGACTACTCAATGTTATAAACTATAAAAGCTAATAATATTTAATCTAACAGAGTTGACACCATCCACATAGACCATATTTGGTGACACTATCCACCTAGACCATATTTGGTGCAATGAATCTGGCACATGCCACGGAAAGTCTTGTGTAATCCACCCTACTTGACTAACAAGAAAGTATGGAGAGACAAGCTCTATAGCTCTGTGATCATCTTTTTTTTTTATTGCACTGATAAGAGTATTGTGAACAATATTATATTACTTTTAATTAAATGTACTTACATTTTTCTATCTCATCTTTCCAAAACTGTGAATTGCTCACCCTCCTTAACTCAAATATTCTGTATACATTTAGAATTTTGATGGCTTAAAATCGTGATTATAAACTGTCTCTTTATTCTGTTTATTGCTTCCTTTGCTGAGCAGAATCCTGTTTCTTTGTTTTCACCTATTGCCTGGTCTTTTGGTTCCCATCTAAACAAATCTTTGAAAAGACATGTCACTTAAACTACTTGCTTATATTGCCTTCTAGCAGTTTTATACTTTCAGGTCTATATTTAACTCTTTAATCCATTTTGAATTAATTTTTATATAGAATAAGATAAAGGTCTGATTTTGTTCTTCTTCACGTTGAAATCCAGTTTTTTAAGCACCATTAATTGAACAGATAATTCTTTCTGTGTTGCTTACTCTTAGCATTTTTTTTTGAAGACCAATTAATTGTTAATGTTGGATTATTTTCTGGGCTTTCCATACTGTCCTTTTATTCTGTTTTGATGCTAATAATGTATTATTTATATTACTATAGCTTTGTACTATGTTTTAGAGTCAGGTAGTAAGATCCCTCTATTTTTTTTTTGTTGTTGTTGTTGTTGTTCAGTACTTTTCTGTTTGTCTTTCTTGAATTCACATAAATTTTATTTCTCCCCAAAACAACTGAGAAATTTGTATAAGAAGCACACTGAATTTGAAGACAATTTTTGGTAGTACATAATTTTAACAATATCTTCTTAATTTCTGATCATAGGATATCTTTACATTTATTTGTGTTCCTTCCATTTATGTTATCAATATTTATATTTTTCAATATAGATTTTAAGTTCCTTGGTAAAATTTATCACAAGCACATTTTTATGTTATTGTAAATGTGATATTTTTTCACTTTCCTTTAAAAATTTCTTGTTAATGTATAGAAATGTTACTGATTTTTTACACCTGCATCTGTACTGACTTTATTTTTTCAAATAATTTTTTACAAACCTTCTTTTTCATATATATGATCATTTCTTCTACAAACTTAGACAATTAAACTTCTTTCCAATTATAAAACATAATCACACAAAACTGAGTTGTGAACACTAAGAACTGATCAAACCTTTCCTCTAACACTATTTTACATTTTTATGACATTTCTATAAAAATTCTGGTGCTCAGTTAAATTTAAAATATTAAAAGTGTACAATTTATTTCTTTTACAGGTTTTCATAGTTACACATGTTTGTGAAGACATATATTTTAACATGAATTAATATTATACAATGTATATGTACATAAATCAAAACATTATTTCATTACTATGTATATTTTTATGCTTCTCTAGATTTATTTAAAAACAAAATTTGCAGTAATTTCATATTATGCTGTTCATTATACAGTATTTTCTTAATGATTAAAAAATAAGCTTTTTTCCTCAAACTTAATTAATGTATATTTTATTTTTATTACTGGTGATTTCTCAGTAAATACATATTTAAGTACTGTGATGTCTTTAAAGAAGGAGATATTTTAGCTTTACTTTTGTGGTTTTTAGTGAAGGGTAAATCAGTGATGGGTAAGCTTTTGGCTTGAGAATCAAATGAGAAAAGCATAAGCTAGACTTTCAAAACTTTAATTTTATTATGACTGAACAGTGTCCCAAAGGGATAGAAAGTTACATTTTTACAAGACAGGTTTCTAAGTTTAGTGAATATAAAGTCATTGGAAAGTTGCCACCTCATTTGACAAACAAATGTAAATGTTTGTCCGTATTTAAGAAGTAGCCATGCATAGGCAGATTTCTCATATTTCATCCTGAAATTAGATTGATGAATATGGTTTAAAGCTATTAACTTTAAATTGCTTATGTTTGAAAATAAATTTTAGATTTACATATAAATCTGAAAAGACATTATTTAGTGATAGTCTTTTTAATTTTGATATATTTTTACCATGTTTGCTGTCATCCTATGGCAAAAGATTCTCCTTCTGTTTATTTCCAAAAATAAGAAACACCGATACTCAATTAATAACAAAGATTATAATTCTGAAATAAGATGCATTTCAACTGCATGTTTAGTCAAACAAAATGTTTTTGAATAAAAAGCCCTCACTCCTTTCTAGACAAATCTATCATTACATTCGAGTTGTCACATAGAAAAAAGATATCTAAACTTGATGTCTCATTCCAGGATTTATGAATATTCACAGATTCCAATTCTTTCATATTTGACCTCAGTTTTGGAAAATAGAATGATTCCTACTCTGTAGTTAATTGAAAGTCAAATAATCTCTAAGATTAACAATAGTGGTACAATTTATTCAATTTATGGATGTCAAATCTCTTTATGCTCAACAGTATATAATTCAAGCAGTTTGACCTCTGCTAAACTTATGTGCCCATGAGTAAAACTTTCTTATTCAAAAGCATTTTGGGAAATGTGACACTCTCAGTTCACATATTTAAATATAAATTATTGTCTGTTTCATAAAGTATTTTTAAAAAATGTTTACTTATGCAAGAGGTAATTCAACACAAAATAATGTAGGATAACTGCTTTGAATTTAAAATAATAAAAGTTATATTAGAAGAGTATTTGTACCCTTAATTGGTTGTTATTAAGAATTGAATGACTTTGCGCATATATATAATTTTTTGGTATGATGTTTTTAATTCTTTGGGGAAAATACCCAGAAATGAGATATCTGGGTGGAATGGGACCTATAAACCTAGATTTTTGTGAAATCTCTACACTGATTTCCAAGGGGTTGCACCAGTCTAACCTCCCACCAGCAGTGGAGAAGCATTTCTGTTTCCCCACAGCCCTATCACCATTTGTTATTGATTGATTTCCTGGTGGAAGCCATTCTTTCTGTGATGAGATAGAATCTCAGTATTGTTTACTTTGCATTTCTTAAATGACCAAGGATGTTGAATATTTTTAAAGTATTTTTTGCCATTTGTATTTTTTCACCTGAGAAGTGCATATTCATCTCAGATGTCCCAGCATTTGAGAGGTTAAGGCAGGAGAAACCCTGTGAGTTCCAGGTCAACCTGGGCTAAAAGGGAGATAAAAAGCAGCGTAAACTGTATAATGAAACCCTGTCTCGAACAAAGCCAAACAAACAAGACTACTGAAACTGTTCACTGCATGTAGCACTGTTTTAAATGTATCTATTCCCCACGTATACAAAGTTGTAAAATTCAATTTTCCTTAAGGTGGCAGTGTCTCCTAGTTTTAAAAATCTGTTAAGATGGATGTAAAGGAAGGGGTCTGGGAAGATGGCGGAACAGTAAGCAGCAAAGTAAAAAGCCTCTCTGAGAGAACAGCCCAGATGCTGGAATATAGCATTCAGGAGAAGGAAAAGCAGGAGAGACATAGATCCCTTTGACCAAAGAAGAAACTAAAGTGAGAACTGAAGACCCAGAAAAAATTTTAAAACAGAAAAACTTGAGCAGAAGAAGGCAGTAGTAGCTGGCAGCCCTCTCCCCAGAGCCGGTCCCACTGTGCCAGAAGCACTGTTGAAACCCAGAGATGCATAGGCATAATGAAGCTTGTGGTGGGCAAGCCTGAAGGATTTGGTGAGGAAATGTAAGGGCAGAAGGGAGCAGCGAACCAGAAAACTGCACTGGCTGGCGTGCCTAAACTCGTGCAGTTGTGACTCAGTGAAATGCCTGGGTTCCCGTTGCTTCCACTAATGGGAACCCCAGTCACACTGGAATGCAGGCGCACTGGGATGTGGGCGCACTGAGGTCTGGGATCAGCGAGACCAACAGAAAGTGGAGCCATTAGGTGACCTGCATTGGCCTGTGGTGAGTGTCAGGAATAAAACCTTTCCACGGGAAAGGGAATGACATCTTGAAACCAGGCAGGACTGGCAGAAACAAGGTACTGCAGAGATTTCAGTCAATTGTTTCCCTTCCCCGAAGAGATTGGTCAGATGTGGTTGGCCTGGGTCACACACCTGCCTGGGAACCAGTAGGGTGTCCTAGACCAATTCCCCTATGCACTGCTCACACTAAGGCATGGTGAAGGCCTCCAGGGCCTGAATGACCTGGAGGCGAGGGGCAAACATATGTTGTCCCTATTTGCACCTCAATAGCACACTGGACTAGATGGTCACCTAGCCAGCATGCTTCAGAAGAACCAGAATCAACAAAAAGAAAGGGACTGGGGCCTTCTTTATATGCTTGTATGGAAGAAACAAAAACATATGAGAAGAAGAAACAATAAGAAAAAGCCCTCAGCCCCCAACCCTGAGAACATTGAACCAAGAAATGTAAATACAAAAGAGATTGAGGACAGCAAACATGCAATATCAGACACGGCATCAGTGAACATAAAGAAATATATTTGGGACCTCATAGATGAGTTCAAAAGTGAAATATTTAACCAAGTAAAGCAAGATATAAATAGATTAGTAAAAGAAATAATAAACACCTCTCAAGAAGACACAGATGGAACAATGGAGAAACACAAAGGAGATAACCATTTGATGAAGAATAAAAAGAAAATATAGAATACACGAAGCAGATTCAAAGCGATTACCAGGAAATTAAAAACTCCATTGAAAGCTGGCAACACTGCTTGAAAGAAACTAAGGATAGATTATCCAAACTGGAGGACAGGTTTGCAATGTGGGATCATGAATGAAAAAATTACTTAAAAATAACAAGGAAAAAAGCAGTAACAATTCAAAGACTAGAAGACAACAAGAGGATCTATAACTTGAGAATAAAGAATGTGAATGAAGAAGCAGGGGGACAAACAAAGGAACTACAAAGGCTCTTCACAGAAATAATTAAGGAAAACTTCCCAAACGTAGGAAAGGGAAATAATATTCAGATGTATGAGACATACAAAACTCCAGCCACCTACAACCAAAACAGAGCCACACCCAGGCATATAACAATCAAGATCCAAGAAATTCAATATAAGAACAGAATATTAAAAGCTGTTAGAGACAAGAAACAGATCACCTATAAAGGAAGGCCCATCAGAATTAGGCAGACCTCTCGACACAAACCATCAAGTCAAGAAGAGCTTGGAGCAAAATATTCCAAGCTCTGAAATTTAATAGCCTCCAGCCCAGATTGATGTAACCTGATAAACTGTCTCTAGAAATTAATGGAGAAACAAGATGCTTCCAAGACAAAGAGGAACTGGGGGAATTCGCAACCTCCAATCCAACTCAACAGAGAATACTACAGGACATTCTAAAGAGAGAGAAAAGTACCAGGATTCCAGAAACAGTGGTGGAGAGGCTTCAGTGAATGGAGTAGAAAGTAGAATGAAGAAGACAAGCAGTCAACTAATAGCAAACAAAGAGCATAACAGAAATGAGGCAGAGAAGGTTGGTTATAAACTCTAATATAGATGGCTTTGATACACTAAATTAAAAAAAAAAGAATCACAGGTAGAGTAGATCAGAAGGTAGGGTCCACTGAGATACTCTATATAGGAAATATAATTAAATTGAAAAAGGGTATATGGACTGAAAATCTAATGTGGGAAAACAATGCTCTATGGGACAGGGAGCCAGAGAGTAATAGGGGCAACTAGACCAGAATTTGAGGATAGGTTGGAAATACAGGCTTTAATAGGTAGGAATATAATTATAGATCAAGTCCAGGAGGGAGAAAGTTTGGAACCACTTAGGTAAATAGCAGGTTGTACCCCCCCCCAATTTAAAACGAAGGATCTAAGTGAGACCCAAAAATGTACAGTGCACCCTGGGGAAGTGAAAGGGGAGGAATGGTCTTTAAAAAGATGGCAGAATATATAATTAATAGTGTATCAATAATTAAAACCCATATTACTCACACCACTCTGCTTAGATAGATTTTATTCTGTTCCAGTTTGCATACTTGCATTAGATTTGAGGGCACAGACAGCTATCTCCAAAACACCAGCGCATAGCACAGTAATCATCTTTAATTTCCTATTAACTTAATTTTGAGCCCTGTATGACTTATACTGGTTTGTCATGACTGATCTTAGTGCCATTTGGTTTGTTTGATTGCTGTTTGGTATTGACAGATTTTATTCAAAACTTATATGATTGATAGTATCAAGTCTGAGAGTTTAGGCAATTACATTGAATATGACAAGACTCAATATGACACCCATTCTGGCTTGATTACTACCTGTTTTTGAAGTTTTATACTATGTAATTGTTTTTATTAATACTGTTATATACTGATATATTCAATTATACAATGTCTGATGACTAGCCAATTCTATTGAAGATAACAAGAGACAACACAGTAACCATGGTAGAACCCCTTGTACAGTGGTCTTATATGTCTTTTTCATTTCATGTGTTTATAGGAATATGTTTTGTTTTATCTTGCTTTGTTTTGTTCCTCCCTCTAATACAGAAAGGATAGAAAGACATGTTAAGACTCATGCAAGAGTAGAACCAATAAACAGTTTATAAGAACTGATCTTATGACACATGATGAAATGAACAAATACTTTGAAGAAAAAGAGACACTACAGTACCCAGTGCTGATCCAGGAGTATCATAATGTGAAACCCAGCAATAATATTATTCTTTGCTCAGAGTGATTTTAGCCTGCTTGGGTTTGTTCAATCTCAACATAAATGAAGATATGGATAACTGCATGTATAAGTGTATAGAATTGATAACCATATTACTAAGTTTTTGTTGAACAGAACTGTTTGCAGACTTGCTGTTTGAAACCCCACTTTATATGCTCCACTTTTATATCTTGAATAACTATTTGTAGGAGGACAATATGTAAATATCAACTAGTGATTTCTTACTGTTTATACTTTCTTTGAAAGTATGTATTATTCTACACATTTTCTGTTTTGTTTAGTCTTTCTTTAAATAAAATTTTTAAAAAAGTAAAAAAAATGAATATAAACAAAATAAAAATAGATAATATCAATAATGTATTACTCTAGGAAGATAAAATTCTCTTCAAATATTGAATCCAGGAGACTTTTCTACTAACAGTAAATAGAAAACATAATTATGCAGCAAAATATACCATAAAATGTGTTTCTTTTTGTCTCTCACCTATACATAAAATTCCTACAGCCAAAATGGCAGATGCATTTGCTTTCCTTAAAAGAAAAATAGGAGGGAAACTTTGTAAGCAGAATTGGCTTGCTAGCCTTTACAACAAAATATTTTCTGAAAGAATACATATTTCTCTTTAAAAGAACTAATGAATTTTGATCACTACTAGAAATTGTATCAGGGGCTTTGGTATCCTTTCATGGTTATCGATTGATTCTTCTTTTGCCTGTGTTCTATACATTCACGTGGATGTATATGTTCATGTGCATATAAACAGTGTTGTTTACAATCCCAGGATAATTTGCACAGAAAAGGCATGTACTTGTGTTAGTATTTTAATCAGTTTCCTTACTGTCGAGGTTAAGTTGAACTCTACTTCTTATATTGCTCAGCAAAATAACTCAATGTTTTTGACATTTTTCTTAACCTGTAAAGTAATAAAATAAATGGTAATGAAACTTTTGCAATCTATCTTCAGATACAGTTACTGTGGAACCTCTCTGGAAAAAACAATGGAAATAAAAGAAAGGGCAGAGGTGTTGTAATATATAAAGTTATCTCAATGTGCTATGCTGCTTTACCCTTACAAGAGCCCTATGTGCAAAATAAAATGATTCCATTTGATAGATGTGTAAACTAAGGAAAATGAAGTATCTTCCTGAGGATCTCAGACAAATTGAAACTCTGTTGAGTATCACAGAGTCCAACATGTTGACACTCTACTCTACTGCCTCTGTAATGTCAAATATTTATACCAAATGCTCAGATTCACAGCTTTCATGACAGAAAATCAAGTTTGTTTTTTCACACACTCAAAGGAATATAACAAACACAGCAGGAACAAATTTATAAGAATATAACTTGTTAAATTTTTACTGGTTATATTGTCTGCCTTACAGGTGATGGCTTACACGGTTTTCTTTCATTTATTGCTTTATGCAATATACCAAATGGACTGAGACACTTCTTTGTTTGAGAAAATAAAAGAAACATGGTGGAACAACTTATCTAGGATGAGTCAAGGACAGCTTTGCTTTCCAATTTCAAATTTATCTAACTTTCACCAAGTTGACTGTTGCATGAGAAGAGAAACTGGCATTGTTATTAAGCCAAATAATCAACAATTTTTAAAAAATGTAGCCATATCCGGAAAGGTGTTGTTCAGTTACAAATGTGTTTATTCTCCCTGTAAGGTTTTGAAAAGTTTGTTTGCGAGAGTCTTGGTATTAAATTCTAAAAAACATGAAAACAGGAAGAAACTTAGGATCAAATTTTGTCTTCTTTAATTAACCAGAGAGAGAATTTTGGGTTTGCACATATGTTTTTGCCCTTACTTGATTGAAATTACAGTGAAAGAGGAAATGGTCTAGCTTGGCATTCTTTTTGTACAAAATCAAGGCATTTAAAGTCACATTGACAATAAAATTGATAATTTTAACAATTGCACACAAATATTCTTGTCTGTAGAGAAATAATATTTTTCCCATTATGATACCTTACAAACAAGATAAAATCTTTTTTATGTAGAATATTAGAAATCTTCTTGCTTCTCTTTTTAACATTAGACATATATTCAGTTTGATTTTTATCATTGTGTTTATTGCAAACTTTGGCCATACATTGTGCTTTATTTATATTAGGAAAAAAAAAATATATATATATATATATTCTATGATAGAAAATTCAAGATATCACATTTTAGACTTTGATCTCATCTGATTTTGATTGTTTTTATCTACTGTTAGTTTTCAGACCTTATGATTTTTTCTAAAATATTACATGGAAACATGAAAGAAAATACTTTTTAAATGGCAGTAATATGAAAATTATAATTAGATACTTCTGAATAATCAAGAATGGAAAATTAAATCTAATTGCATGTTATTATCATTCTTTTCAGGTAACAGAAAGAAAGCAACAACTGGAGAAATGCTTAAAATTATCCCGTAAGATGCGAAAGGAAATGAATGTCGTGACAGAGTGGCTGGCAGCTACAGATATGGAATTGACGAAGAGGTCAGCAGTTGAAGGAATGCCATGTAACTTGGATTCTGAAGTTGCCTGGGGAAAGGTAAAGCCTTTATTACTGAATATTGCTTTTAACACACATGAAGACATAAATGCATGTCTTATTAAAAATTCTAATGTACAACAATAGAATTGTAAATATTATCATGGTTCATTTCACACTTCTCAAAAATTAATCAGTGGTGTAGTTTACCTCCATGGACTATATTTCAAGACGATGATAAAAACCAGTGAAAGCTGTAAGAAAGGTCTCTTCAAAGTTTACCTGGAATTAATCCTTAATAAGTAAATATGTCAGAGACCTGTCTGAACACCTGTGTCAGAATGTGTCTACTCCAGTGACCAAATTGGACTCCTGTGTCCAAATTGGAGTCCTTTCCTAACTTCCTTCTAACTTTTTAATTAAAACTTTTTTGTGACAGCCAGGGTAAAGCAAACAAAGTAAAGCAAAGACGAGAAAGGAAAAAAAAAATATATCAGCTAAGTGTGGTGCCACATGCCTGTATCCCATCACTCAGAGGCTTGGGCAAAAGGAGCACAAGTTTCAGCTTATTCTAGGCAATTTAGCCAGACCATGTCTCAAAAAATTATGTTTAAATGGCTTGGAATATAATTTTGTGGTACAGCATTACTGAGTTCCAGGCAGACAGGAAGGAAAGAAGGAAGGAAGGAAGGAAGAAAGGAAGAACGAAGGAAGGAAATCATTAGTTAGAAAGTCAGTCCAGAGATAAGAATCTATGTTTTCCCACCTTGCCTAAGACTAGACTTCCCCAGATGGATCCCATAATTACAGAGGACAACAGCGCAGTGACTATGGGGATTTGGTCTGGACAGCACTTGAAAGATCAGCAACTTGCCAAGGTCAACATCAAAACATATCTCAAGGTGTGTGTGAAGGGGCTGTTGTCCATATCACAAAAAGGCATGGGCCCTTGTTTCACTACAGCGGGTAAATTCCTGTCTTTGACTGCCAGTCAATCAGACATTTATTGCTGCCTAGTTTTAAGGTCAAAGCATACATAGCTTTTTTTTTTCACAATGGATTCAGTACTGGATTATTTGAAAGTGATATAAAAAATACCCAATATTAGTAACACTTTTCCATCTCAAACTTTATCAAAACGTTGGAGCATTTAGGTCCAGAAAATCCTGGTACTAAATATCCACTCTTGATTTTTTAAAATTAGCATAAATCTTCCTATATTAATTAGCTGCCTAGGAAATCTGTACTTTTTTTTTTAATTCAGTATGTCTATATATGTTATCAAAAGTTGAGAAATTGTAAGTACATTATATACAATTTGGAATCATATAGTGAGGACAAAGTTAAACTTTATTTTCATGCAGTTTTAAATAATAAGTACTAGTGGAATTTCTTTACATAAAACTTTTCAAATTAATAGAAACAAATTAAATTCCCTTTCTTTCCAATGAGAATAAATAGTGTTAGAGATAACATGTTGAATTATACCTATTATTTCAGTAGCTTATATTATATGAGATTATTACATTAAGGCATATACAGAGGGTACAATTTAAAATTATATTAGCCTTACTTTTCCTCTATCTTGAAACATATATCTTTGATTGTATAGATTAAAATAACAATAATGATTATATGCTTTGATTCAGACTAGACTGGTTTATTTAAGAAATAAGCCAAAAATATAGCAGCTCAAAGGAGACATATATATATATATATATATATATATATATATATATATTTTTTTTTTTTTCTAACTCATGTGAGATTGGTGGTTCAGGAAAATAGATTTGCTAAATTGAATCATCCCAAGAGTTGGCTCATTTTCATTTGACCATTTTGCAATCATCTGTGTAACACCAGAGTAAAGCTTGCTCACCACTAATACACTTTTCTTAGAGCCCAGGATAAGAGATTTAATGAAGTAGAAGACAAGTTCTCTTTTAAAGATGCACTACTAATGTTCCATGCAATATTTCTGGCTTTATTCCATTTGCAAGAACTCACATAACCCTGTGTATCCATCAGGAAGGATGACAAAATATACTTGAGTGACATTGTAGCCTGCTGAAAACAAATTAACAAAAATGTATAGAAACTGCATTCTGTGGAAAATTATCTTTGACTGAACAATGTTGAACCCTCCTTTGTTAGCTTTAAAAAAGACAGTATAAAGGACTGTGTGACTTTTCTCTTTATAGCATACATGACCTAGTAATGACAGTTTTAAGCATATGTACCCAAAAAACATATAAAAGATTCTAAAAGATTTATGATCTATTAATTTATTAAATATAGTAAAATACACATGGGATGTAGCATGGAATATGATGATAGAATTGAGGGATTCATGAAAATCATCTGGATATAATTTTGTTATTTCCATGGATCACAGCTATGATTGCTCCTTTCAAATTGAGTAGATATATTCCATCACTAGAGCTGTCGACAAACCACTGATGACTAGTGCTCTAAACAGAATTATATTTTCTCACAGTTTTGCAGGATTGAAGTCCAAGATTAACACCTTAGGAGGATGATTTCTTCTGAGACTTCTCTCCTTATCTTACAGACTGAACATCAGGTTTTTCCCATGGTATTCCCTCTGATCATTGATCCGGCCTGTGGATCAATCCATGAGGTGGACCTGGAGGGGGAACAGGGATGAAATAGAAACAGGGGGAAGCCAAAGAGAGATGGAAGCAAGTTGAGGAGTCCAATCAAGCCTCATTTATTCAGAAAATGATCACATCTTTTATAGGCCAAGGGCAGGCTGGTGGGACAGGAAGAGGCTACGGGGTGGTTTCTCATAGGTCATCATCATGTCTGGGTATGTGATGTAAGCAGGAGAGGATTATGGTTAATGTAGGCAGGTGCATCATATGCCCATAGGAGAGAGGTGGGGAGGCAGCAATGGGGCGGTCTCACCGCTCCCTACATCTCCTCACTTTCTATATTATTTAATCAGGAGTATGGTAGGCTCTATGAGGACAGCACCTTTCTTAGGTCAAGGAACCTCATTGCATGAACCCAACTGGGCCTTACCCATCATGGGCATGCAGGACAGCAGTTGGTCCTGTGCCTGTCTTAGACGGCCAGTGGTGTAATCATGCATGTCCTAGTTGCTCATCTCTGGCTACCTGTCCATTGCCCCAGGGCAGTTAGGCTGCATTGTCATATGGGCTACTGATGGGAATTCCCCCCCAGTAGGTTTGTTGATCTGCCATTTCCAGCTGGTGATAGTGTACCTGGATGGGCTTTGCCATAAATGCATCTGTCCGGTTATTAATGAGCATCATAATCCTCTGAAAAATACAAGGATCTACAGAAAGGAGAAGCAACAAGGCAGCTAGGGGACCCAAAAGGGGGTTCTAGGTAAGGGAAACCCCCCCCCCACATTGAGGAGAAGGAATTAGCAGCCATTTGTTGTCGTCGCTGTTGAAGCCATTCTTCTATTTCTTGGAGCTTGCCTCGCACAACACCGGACTGATTGACATAGAAGCAACATTATTTTTGTGTGTATTTGGCTGGTTTGTGTTCCTCCAGACTGAAAAGAGCCTCTTCTGCAGTCATGGGAGTTCTGTGTATGGCTGTTAGTAGTTGTAGTCTGTTTGGCCAGGGTCTAAATCCACCACGGGTATGGTACAGTCCGGTCTGAGGAGAAGGCTGAGTAGGCAGCATAAGGCTCTGAGGAGTTGTGTCATCTGTAAAAGAGCACAGGGGGTTGTGCCTCAGGAAATGATATTATTCCTGGGCATCTCCTGGGGTCTTTGAAGAACTGTCTATTTGTTTTACAAGGTGCTCAGGTAGCCATCTAGCCTCTCTGTCTTATGGAGAGTAAACACATCCTCATGTGAGAATGGGGTCAGGGCCATGCCATGAATTAGTCAGGGAGTCTCTCCATAGTACAGAAGCAAATTGCTTTTGTGTTTTAGTATGCCAAAAACGCATGGCTTATTTGACTGTATTCCCCCCCCCCCCAAAGAAAGTAATAAGCACTAAGGAGTAATAAAATCCAAGATGTGTAAATTTTGTTGTAAAAAAGAGAGGGAAAAAAAAAAAGAAAAGGAGCTCTAACGGATATAACAGCAAGTGTGTTTGGGGGTGTTAAATAGCTGACTTTATCAATGTTTTTGGAACATTGAACACAGCTGTTTGCAGTCTCCCTGTTTGAATGTCCACCTTGTGTTCTTTGATACTGTGATTTGAGGAACTATTTTCAAGAAAATAGTGTGTAATCTACTAGCAGGTAATTTCTTACTGTTATGGTTTTTTGTTTTGTTTTGTTTTGTTTTGTAGTTCTGTATTGCGTGTACCCTTACGCCGCTTTGGTTTGTTTTGTGTTTTTCTCTTTTTCCTCTAAAAAAAAAAAAAAAAAAAAAAAAAAAAAAAAAAAAAACGCATGGCTGCTGACTGTCCAGAAGCATCCAAATTACAAAAAAAAAAAAATTAAGGATAAATAAGGCATGAGAATATTTTTAGGTGTCCTCCTTGTGGTACTATTCCCCCTTTTTTATTTTATCAACAGTGAGTTTTAGGGAGAGATGTGTCCTTTTAACTATGCTTTGACCTTGAGGGTTATAAGGTATGCCTTTTATATTAAGATGTTAGCAGAAACGAGCAAAGGCAGAACTAGCATAGCCTGGACCATTATCGATCTTGAGCTGTTGAGGACATCCCAGAACTGAGAAGCCTGACAGCATATGGGCTATAACGTGTCTGGCAGCTTCTCCAGTCTGGAGAGTGACAAAAATGAAGCCATTGTATGTATCAACAATTACATGTATATATTTTAGGTTGCCGAACTCATTGAAATGAGTAACATCCATTTGCCATAATTCATTGGGGATTAGTCCTCTAGGATTAACCCCAAAGTGTGGAATTGGGAGGTGCACAGCACAAGAAAGGCAATTTTTTACTATCTGTTTGGCTTGTTTTCTAGTGATCTTAATACAGAATTACAGAAAAATAAATGGCAAGACATCACCAGTCAACAAGTTACATACTGTCATCTCAGAAATAGTCACCCAGACCACAAAATCAAAGCACATAAAGTGACA